CGAACTCACCAGCCCTGGTGCATGTGGCTAACACCCTAACCACTGAGCTCCGGGTGCTGAGCCGGATTGCTGTCAAAGAATAAAAAAATTTAAAGGAAATCTGTCTCCGTGTTGTAAAAATAATGTCATCAAGAAGATAGAGATGATTTAAAGTCTTATTATGGCTGAAAGGTTATTCTGCAGCCTCAATGCCTCTTGACGTTAGCTTTGTGGGGCGTGGAGTCAGACACATGTAGAAGGGCGTTGCTGTTGAATGGTCGGCTGCGTGATTTAAATTTCCTAGAGACTCATGTTGCAAATATTTTTAGTACAATATTTTCACTGAGTGATCTGTAGCTATCTGAAATAAGAACAAGTTGGATAAAAAGGGTGCAGAAGTTGTCAGATAGTCCTGAAAGAGGATGGATTTCATTTTTAAAGCCACTTTCTTGAGGTATAATTGACATGTAGAAAGCTGTGGGTATTTAGTCTGCAGCTCAGAGAGCTTGGGGATGAGTTTGGGTGAAACCGGCACTACCTTCATTCAAGGCCGTAAACATATCCATTACTTCCCAACATGTCCTCCCACTCCCTTCATTATTATTATTTGCTTTTTAAGAGACTGGGTTTTGTGTGGATGAAGGAAATTGTGGAGCCATCAGGTAGTTTGTTGGTCTCATTTGATTGGAATGTAAAAGGATTCTTTTAGGGGGAGAATGGCAAACAAGACCTACTTTTAAAAAACACACATGTTCTTTTATTCTTTTGCCTTTCTCGGCATTTAAGTCATCAAGACTAAAGAAAATGGTCATTGTGGGGACTTAGTGTACATCGGCAAAGCAATTTGGGAAAAAGTCAGCTGGGGCCACCCTGCTCTAAATTGAGTCGAATTTCTCAACTTTCTTCCTCAGGAGCAGCAAATATATTTTTAAGGTCTCCAAATTATTGAGGGGAGTTTTAAGTGATTGGGAGTGAGATAGAGAATTTCACTAGTAGGAAAAAAAATTTGATTGGTAGCTCGCAAACTTAGTGACTGAAGAGTTGGCTTTGAAAGTGCTTGTGATTTGGGGAAATGTGTATTTGGTCTTAACCTGGTTTACTGGCAAACGACTCCAAAAACCCTTGGAATCTCAAAAGTGTTGTGTCTTTTTGTATGCTAAGGAGTTGACTGGTGGCTGGCCACTCCTAGGTAGCTTTAGGAAGGGGCCCTAAAGAAAGGGCAGGGTTTCTGGTTGAGCATTTCAGCCTCATCTCCTAATCTCCAGGGAAGGGGAGAGAGGCCAAGGGTTGAGGCGGTTGTCCATGGCTTTTGATTCAGTCAACCTTGCCTATGTAAAGAGGTGTCCTGAATACTTTATTTGTAGGTGTCTGGACAGGGCAGGGAAGCTCCCGCCTTCTTCCCCCATTTCTCTGAATTCTGTGAGCTGCTCTAGCAAATTAATCAGACTCAAAGAGGGAATTGTAGGAACCTCTTTGTAGCTGGTTAAACGATCCTAAGTTTGCTGCTGGTGTTGGAGGTGGGGGCAGCCTTGGGAGACTGAGAGACCTCAGCCGGGGAGATTCAACACTGTCTCAGGTTGGTAGAAATGGGTGGGAGTAGGGAATGCCCTAGTGTCCACTGCAGAATTGAGTTCTTGGTTGCTGGGGGTGGGGTTAAGTCCCACACATCTAGTGTCAGGACTGATCTGTGCTATATGAGCGTTTAGGAGAGACAGTTTGTTTTTTCCTGCACCGTCACGAAGTTCTTAGGCTATATGTGAGAGGAGAGAAAAAGGGTGAAAAGTAGTTTGAACAAAGCTATAAAAATACAGGAGAACCTCTGTAAGTTGACCACCTGAGGGACTATAACAGACTGGGCAACATAAGGAACTAGGCCTACGGTACTGAGATGTACGTGTGGTGCACGTCCAGTCTGTGAAAATTAGGTCAACGTAAGGGGGTGGCCCATATGGGGAGGGGGTCACTATATTTGTCTTCTGATATTTTTCTGGTGGTTTTGATTAGTCCAAGAAAACAATTGGCTGCCATAGGTCGGACAATTCCCAAGGGAGAAACCTGGTTACTTTTGAGAGAAACTGGAATTTCATAATGGAGCATCTTGGCGTGGGCCTGTGTGTGTAAGAGAGTGATTGGGTTCCATTCCACCACAGCCAGCCACGGGCAGGTGTGTAAGTGGCAACCCCATTAACAGGCTCACCCTGGATGTTTGTTCTGCCTGCTCAGAGGTGGCAAGTATGTTTCATTGCTTGGCTGCAACAAGGCAGAAGTTTCTGGATGAGGAGAGCGTCACATCCCTGAGAGACCATGACAAGTCTGAGGAGCCCGGTGTCTTCAAGGGGTCTGGGCAGTGGTGGCGATGGGGCCTGGAACTTGTAAAAATGGGCTCTCGGGTAAAGTTGCTCCTTGACCTCCAGCACACACTAAGAAAGGAGCTCTTTTTTTTGACTTTTGCTCCCAATATATGCTGGGGAAAGGGGTTAAGAAAATGTGAGGTGCTTGAGGTGAAGGGTGGGTGCCTTGAGCTGGAGATTGCCCATTTCCCTTTGTCCTGGGAACTGCTCTGGCTTTCTCAGAGGGCCCAGACAGCCCTGTGAATCCCTCCCTTGCAGGGAGGCTGGAGCTTTGCTCTCCTAGTTGTGGCTGTCAGCAGTTGGTGGTCACAGCAGACCCCATGGGAGCTGCTCTTCTGCCCCCCTCCTTTCCCCTTTTCTTCCAGCAGTTTCCCTCAGTTCTCCTGTGTAGGTGTTTTAATGGGGGGGGGGGGCTGCCTTGCCACTCCGTGCATTGGGCAGAGGAGGCTGCCTGTAGCTGTCCAGTTCCTCTGTGCCTCCCCCTCCAATCCACAGGCCTCTACTGGGTTGGAAATGGGGACCTCCCAGTTGAGGGAGACAGAACCAGGCTGGGGTGTGTGGGTTTATTTTACAGGATGGGTGAAGGGTGGCATGAAGGCTCTTGTGAAGGGAGACAAGGCAGATTTCTGCTTAGCAAGGTCGCTCGGGTGGCATATTGGGCCAGGTGGAGAAGAAGACAGGAAGACCAGGCTGTGCACATTGTGCTGAGGCCTGTGGGCATGTGTTGTGGAGCTGCGACGAGTCAGGGCAGTCTTCTCCATTCTCCTTGGATTTACCACGTCACCTTTCAGAACCCCACCTTCAGCTCTTCTGGCCTGGCTCCTTCTCCTCCCAAGAGAGATTCTGTTTTCCAGCAGTTTCTTTCCTGGAGGCAGTAAAGCTAAGATGGGGAGACTCCTGGGCGTGACCTCAGGGTCGGCAGCCGGTGTCCTTGCTGACTGGTGTCATTGCCCTCCTGGACATGTGACAACCCTGCTTTGATGAGGAGGGGGCTGTCATCTTGGCTGCTGTGGGTCTAGCCAGTCGTCTCAGACAGACTGTAGAGAGAGGATGACTTTTGCCCAGACATGTTCAAATGTTCAAAGATCTTCCTGGCCTCGGAAGCGACCTTCTCATCCCTAGCTCAGTACTAGGAACTTTGAGGCAGTTACCATAAATGTAGCATGTTACTGGTGGGAAAGGAAGACGCTTTTCTAAAAAATCATTTCTTTCGATTTCTGTTTCTTCCCTCTCTTAGTTCTGTAAAGTCAGAGAATGCAGAAGTGGGATAGGGCTGGGGGGTAGGGTTTGAGCAGAAAGGCTTTGGCAGAAGCCCGACTCCCAAGACCTGCCTGCACCTCGGCAGCTTTGCAGAAGCAGGCGTGTGTTGCCATGGGTGGGGCACCAAGATTAGATAACTAGGGGCCTGATGAGCAGTCTGTAGGGTGGAAAATACGTGTGCAACTTGGCATTAAAAGTTGTATTTTATTCATACCAAAGAGTAACGATGGAGTAAAAAGGCGCCGAGGAGAGGCGATGCCTTCATAGGAGTGAATTGTTGGAAGAAATGGCAGAGCTTACAAATGGACGCAGCATTTCTCCCCTCCCGTAGGTGCTGAGATGTGTATTTGGGAATCCACTCACCAAAGACTACAGTGTGAAATCTAGTCTCGGAGTGAATATTACATTACCCTAAGTTCTGAGCGCTTACTGTGTGCCAGGTACAATGTACAAGCCAGCTAAGGCCTGAGCATTTCGCCTGTGTTACTCAGTGGGTCCTCACTGTCTATGTAGGTGCCTCGATCATTCCAGGCAACATTCTGCAACATTAAGAAACAGGCCCAAGGCCACTTAACCAGTGTAAGGCAGACAAGCTGGGTGTAAACTCAGAGACGGGCTCCAGAGCCCACGTAGGCTTGGTGTGTGATTGCTGTGGTGAAGAGAATAATGACATGTTTACTTATTAATTTAGGTGAATTTGTAGCATGTGCTCTTGCGTCTGTGCTTGGAATGACTAATGAATACTACCTCTAATGAATATGAATATTAATGTCTATAATGAGGAATGACAAATGCAAATGAGCACTAATGACTAATGAACAAGATTTTCCACTTTTCTGAGGGTCTCAAGAGAGGTACGGTGGGCTGTGTTTTGGATGCAACATTTCCCTATTGGTTTCAGAATTCTCAGGCTCCAGTTGGTATTTCTGGGGGTGGTCCTGGCATCTGTCTCTTCCATGAGCATCCCAGAGGCCACACTGGGCATTGGGGGTCTCTTACACTGTGTTGCTGAAAGCGCTTCCCTGGAGTTTGCTGCTCAGGTCTGCTTAGGCAGGCCGAGCGGTACGGGTTGAAGACCATGGCCTTGGCACCAGACAGTCCCAAATTGGAGATCTGACCTCTTTGCTTCTTGGTCCTGGGATCCATGGGTAGCTGCTCAAGTTCTTTGAGCTGCTGTTTACTCATTGATATGTCAAAGAAAAAAAAGAGGTCCCATCTCAGAGCGCTGTCCTGTCCTGAGGATTAGGAGGTGTCACATGAGAAACTCAGCCTGCCACCTGCTGCCCCTGGTTAAAAAACACGGCCATTATTGCTATAGACACTGGATAAAGGGGAGTCCAGTGGCTGGGAGCTTTTCCAGGGTACACTGCCCTGACCACCTCTGTTCTCCTGTTTCTCCCTCCTGCTCAGGACGGCTCACTGGGAAACATCGATGACCTGGCACAGCAGTATGCAGATTATTACAACACCTGCTTCTCTGACGTGTGTGAGAGGATGGAGGAGCTGCGGAAACGGCGGGTTTCCCAGGACCTGGATGTGGTGAGTGGGAGTGCTGGGCATTTGCCTCTGCAGAGCTGGCTGTAGTCCTGGCTTGGCCGGGGCACCTGTCCACAGGCGGCTGCACTAGTGCAGGGTAGAAATGCAGCCCCCAGTGGGAAGTCCCAACCCATCTTGCTGCAGACATCACACTGAGTGCTGGCTGGGGAAGTAGGGTCAGATCATTATATTCAGTGAAAGACTAGACTTTTTCCTTTTCTTCTTTTTTGACTTCAGGGGAAAGGATATTTTTGCTAGAGTACATTTTGATCTGCTCTAAACCCAAAGGGTGTCTAATCCAGTTCTTTCTCTTTCCTTCCCTTTTCTTCTCTTTTTTTCCTCTTCTTTTTGTTGTTCTTCTTTTTTTTTAGTTTTTATTTGAAAACCTAGATAAAATTTAAAGAAGCAAGAAATCAGCTGTCATCTCTCATGTGTGCTTCTGGGCATTTTAAAATCAGCAGTATGATCTGTGTGTGTGTGTGTGTGTGTAAATCACTTCTTATTTAACATTTTACTGTAGTTCTGCTGTGTCTTTGAGTTGTTTTTGTCATCACCATCTTTCATGACTATATCCTTCTCTGTCACCTAGGTGCATTGAAATCCGCTCAGCTGTTTTGCAAAGACCTTTATGTGCCTAATTAGTGGGGCATTTGGACTTGCTCTTTTTAATTTGTATGCGTGCGAGTAGTTCATGTTTTATATTTGCTGTAAAATATCTTACCTGAGCTTCTATATTTGTGAGTTTAAATTTGCTAAATGTTGGGTCCATTTTAGTTCCCTGCCTTTCAAATGGTTTTGTTTTACTGTGTTGACCTCCAGACCTCCTCAGGCAGGGGGTGGGGGAGGTGAGACAGAAGAAAAGAGGCCCATCCCTCCATATCTGCTCATCCAGCCCGGCTCATTTTGGATGGTGGGGGAGGGGCATGCTACCAGAATCTGATTTGAATAGCAGAGCTCCTCTGCCTTTTGAAAAAAGTTGGAAAACTTTTCTTTTTTTTTTTTTTTCCTTTAAGATGGAGTCTCAAGCTGTTGCTCTGGATAGAGTGCCATGGTGTCATAGCTCACAGCAACCTCCAACTTGGGGGCTAAAGTGATCCTCTTGCCTCAGTTTTTCTAATTTTTTAGTAGAGACAGGGGTCTTGCTTTTGCTCAGGTTGGTCTCGAACTTGTGAGCTCAAGCAATCCACCCGCCTTGGCCTCCCAGAGTGCTAGGATTACAGGTGTGAGCCACCGTGCCAGTCCTGAAAACTTTTCAGTTGAATCCTCACCCTTCCCAATATATCTACTTAGGCTGAGAACAACAACAGCAACGAAAGCCAATAATTAAGCAACTGATTTAGAATGAAGAACAGATGATTCTTTTTTATTAACTATTCCTTTTACATCATACAAAGGGGCTCTTCTTAAATAAGGGACCCAGCCAGCAGCTGGGTCCTCTGTTGCATATTCTGTAAGTGGACATAATCTGTTGCCACCCCAAGACTCTGGTGCCCTTGAACACTTTTCTTTCTTTCATTAACTCAACATAAGTAAAGGTTCTTTGAGTCAAAAGTAATCTTATATTATGACTGCCGAATATTTAATGTCGAGGTGGCAGTCCTTTTATTGGCCTGGTCTGGGAAGGACTTGAGGGAGGTGTGGATGGTAACAAACCATTAACAGGTGTTCTCAACATGGCATTTGCATCTGCTTATGGGAACTCCTTCTCTGTAAGCCTAGGGTGGGAGTTGGGAACTACCATGCAGATTTAAGCTAATGGCATAATCCAACTCCTATTATGCCTGCGCTGGGGAATTCCTAGATTGGTAAGGCCTGCCCTCCTTTCCCAGATGTAGCAGTTGCTCAGTTTTGGCTGAGAAATGTCAGTTGGGGGAGATCCCAGGAGCCTGACACTTTGGCTGAGGTGGGTATCTGTGTCAAGGGCTTTTTTCGTATAACTGTTTCCCAGCACATGTGAACAGTGGGGTTGTTTCCTTCTTATGAAGAAAGTAGCCGTGTGTCAAAAGACTGCCATGCTCTGTTGCAATTTACTCGGTTCTCCTATTGGAATGTAGTTAATGAAAAAGTCCCTTCATGTTGGCACGATTACCCAGAACAACAGCATAAATTTTGCACTAAATTCTTGAATGTTGCACTTGTGACCTTGGCTTATAGTCTAGTGGCATGCTCTGTGGCCTCCTTGGACATTTTACTTTGCAAGGAAATGATGGCTGTGAGTTGGTACAATTCTAGCTGGTTAAGAGTTGTTTAAGAGTCTCCTGGTGTTTGGGAACCTGGGAAGGCAACTTCTATGTAGGGAAGGAAGCCTACCTATAGTTGGGGTCAATAACTTCCATCTCATTTACTTTTTTTTTTTTTTTTTTTTGAGACAGAGTCTCATTATGTTGCCCTGGGTAGAGTGCCATGGCATCACAGCTCACAGCAACCTCAAATTTTGGGGCTTAAGAGATTCTCTTGCCTCAGTCTCCCAAGTAGCTGGGACTGTATACAGGTACCTGCCACAATACCTGGCTATTTTTTATTGCAGTTGCCTTTATTGTTTGGCAGGCCTGCGTTGGATTCAAACTGCCTATTTTTTTTTTAAATTAATTTTTCTTTTTTTTTGCAGTTGTTGTTGTTTAGCAGGCCCAGACCAGGTTCGAACCACCTGTCTCGGTGTGTGTGGCTGGCGCCCTAACAACTGAGCTATGGGCGCTGAGCCTATTAATTATTTTTTTTAAAGGCAGAGTCTTGCTCTGTCACCTGGGCTAGAATGCAGTAGAGTCATCATAGCTTGCTGTGACTGTGAACTCTTGGGCTTAAGTGATCCTCCTGCCTCAGCCTCTGGAGCAGCTGGGACTAAGGCACATGACACAACACCCTGCTAAATTTTTCTATTTTTTGTGAAGACAGGGTCTTGCACTTGCTCACGCTCATCCTGGCCTCAGTAATCAAACTCCTGGGCTCAAGTGACCCTCCAGCCTTAGCCTCCAAAGTTCTAGGATTATAGGTTTGAGTCACCACACCTGCCCTGCCTTCCAGTTTAGACAGATGGGGCTAATTTGGTGTTCTCTGTACCAGAGCTGGAAAAGACAATTTGGGGGACCAAAACCGTACCCCATGAGCTTAATTAGTTCCCATCATAGGAGCAGAAATGGGGGTTAGTGAGTGAAATTGATGAGAGCTAATTTAAGCCAGGCTGGAACCTGATTGTTACTTCTTTGAATTATAATTAATGAAAAAAGGAAGACCCTGAATTAGCATATTTAAATTCTTCCTATGAAGTTCCAGGCCAGTTGCCTCAGTGGAGGAGAGTGTGGAACTGCTCAATGTCAGGGTTGGGGCTCTGGGTTTCAGGTGTCACTCACACGGCTCTGGAGTGGACGCTGGTGTTAGACTCCTTTTAAGGTTATCGTCATGCAGGCCAGGCCCACAACAATGCAACCTGCACGTTCCCGCTTGTGGTGGTCAGCTCATCACAGATCTCCACTCTTGGTGGGAATTCATCATCTGGAAAAGCTGTGACTTTCACTCCATCAGGCTTCCTTTTACTGCACCTGAATCTTGCATACATTGCTGTACTTTCAATTCTGCCTTCAGACAAGTAGACAACCTGCCTCCCTGTCGTGCTGCTGGCTGGAGCAGCCTTGTGTTGGGGACCTGAAGAGGAGTACCTCCTTTCTGGGTTTGTCAGCAGCCCGGCAAAGGTGAATGCCAGATGGCTTGGAGAAGGATGGTCCACCAGAGGCAGTTAGAAGAGATACAGAATAACACATTAGAAACCGAAAATATTTTATAGGGGAAAAAGTAGCATTATACTTGCTGTGCCCGCTGTAGAAAAGGTCATCTAGAGCTGTGGACCCCAACCCCCAGACCTGTTAGGAACTGGGCCCCCCAGTGTCACCACCTGTGCTCCACCTCCTGTCCCATTCTGTCTTCTTCCTCCCACCACCCCTTCCCCATTCATGGGGAAAAAAGTTGTCTTCCATGAAACTAGTTCCTGGTGCCAAAAGGGTGCCGGGTGATGGCCTGACAGGAGCCAGGCTGCGCAGCAGGTGAGCGTGGGTGAGCACGCGGAGTATCAGCTGTATTTACTGCAGTTCCCCATCCGCATCACCCCCTGAGCTCTGCCTCCTGTCCCACCACTATTACCACCCCCACCCCCGGTCCATGGAAAAATTGTCTTCCTTAAAACTGGTTCCTGGTAGCAAAAAGGTTGGGGACTGATGATTTAGAAGACAGTCTTGAGGATGGAAAAGTTTGAGGGCTGCACTGAATCCATTTATGACTTGGTTTTGTTCCAAATCCTCAGGATGAATTTTGAGGATCGAGAAAATAATTCTATAGATCTGTGGTCCCCATCCTCCAGGGCTCAGCCTGTATCTGTACTAGTCCAGGGCCTGGCAGGAAGCAGGCTGCATAGGAGGTGAGCAGAGGGTATTCCAGCGCAGCTTCCTCCGCAGTTACAGCCCCTCCCCATCATGTGTCACCACCTGGACTCCTCCTCCTGTCCCATCCCCCCTGCACTCCCCTTAACCTCCAAAAAATGTCTTCCATGAAACTGGTCTGTGGAGCCAAAAAGGTTGGGGACCTGTGTCATAGATAGAATAAATATTTAAGTATTTGTTTGGCTTTCAAAAGTCCAAAAATACATTGTTCTTAAAAGCTAATTACGTGTCAGCTGAAGAATAAACCACACACCCTTCCCACAGAGATGCTTGATTTAACCCTGAAAAATAAAAGGTTTTGATAAGTATGTTAATAATTAACTTTCTGGACTGATGTCCAGCTCCTTCTCTGAAACCTAATCTCCCGGATCCTGACTGGAATAAAGCAAGAGATGAAGTGTCTTTGGGGCCAGTTAGTTTCGATGAAGACAACAGAGAGTACAGATGGGTCAAAATTGAACAATATAAGTGAGGATTATGATTCACATTTATAACTAGGGCAAGAGTTTGGATTTAGCACCAAACGGCCCCTACAGGAATGGTGTGTTTGGACCACGGCCTTTGCCCGTGCCGGGG